TTGTTGGTCATGCTGAAATTCACGGAAATCGACAGCTAGCCGAGAATTCACTGTACCAGAGACGAATGTTAGAGAATGGAGAAAACAAAAAGTCGTCCTGAAAGATCATGAATAAAACCAAAAAAGCACAACGAGGGAGACAAGCCATGTACCCAGACATGGAGAAGGAACTTTATGAATGGATCATTGACCAAAGAAGTAGTGGGTACATTGTCACATCACTCCACATTAGACTTCAAGCCCAAAAGTTTTGCAAAGATTCAACCTTCAAAGCCTCTAATGGATGGACACAAAAGTTTATGAAAAGGCATGGACTTGTAATAGGCCAGAAAACAAAGATAGCGCAGAAGCTGCCAAGTGATTTAGCAGAGAAGATCACTTCATTCCATACCTTTATAATCAAACAACGCAAGCAGATTAATTTTGAACTTTCACAGATAGGCAATATGGATGAGACCCCCATGTGTTTTGACCTACCAGGCAACAGTACAATTGACAGCAAAGGGAAGCACACAGTCCAGATTAAAACCACAGGCCATGAGAAAACTCATTTTACGGTTGCGTTATCCTGTAGGGCCCGGTTTTAAACTTAAACCAATGGTGATTTTTAAAATCTAAAGACTATTCCAAAGGAGTTAAATTTCCACCAGGTGTCGTGATCCATTGTCATCCTAAAGGATGGATGGATGAGAAGGGCATCATGTTTCTGATGGTTAAATAAAGTTTGGAATACTAGACCAGGCGCGCTACTGAAGAAATCCATGCTTGTATGCATGACCAGTTCCGCTCACACCTGACAGACACTGTGAAAGACAAACTGAAAAGTCTAAAGACATTTCAAGCTGTGATTCCAGGTTGGACTAACCTCTATTCTTCAGCCACTCGATGTTGTTTTTTTCAAACCCTTCAAAGACAGAGTCAGGGAAAAGTGGATTACCTGGATGAAATCCGAAGACAAAGAATTGACTGCAAAAGGAAACCTCAAGAAACCTGGCCTATCTCTCGTGACATCTTGGATTAAAACATCAGGAAGACATGCCAAAAGAAATGATCATCAAGAGTTTTTTTAAAGACAGGCATCAGCAATAAAATGGAGGCACAGAAGACGACCTGCTGTGGAATTCAGACTCAGAAGAAAGCGAAGAAGCTGGAGAAACAGATGTTCCTGCCAACTGGGACACTGATGATAAATTAACTCTAGAAGAATGGGAACAACTCTTTAGTGTATCTGATGATGATGAATCTGACTTTGAAGCATTTTAAATAAATATTGTTACCGGTAATTTATGTCGGTGATTGTGTTTACCTTGTCAATAAATGATTTTTATCATGGCCGCACGTGTTCAACAACGTTTGTTAATTACAATGCTTGGTCTGAGCCGAGGAAAAGTGAAACAAAATTTTATACCGATTTTTAATCGAAAATTAGGGGTGCGCATTATACACGTGCGCGCGTTATACTCGAATAAATACGGTATTACTATTCCACATATAGTCACTAAATTATATTCTACTATTTTTCCTGAGAACCAGATGACAGAGTAAAGTCTAGAAATGATCTTGGTCTCTGGCACCTGGATTTGGTCCTTTCTTTTTCCTATAATAAATGTAAGCCGTCATTGATATAGTTAACAAACAGCCAAGTCAGGTAAGAAAATAAATTGTTTGCAAATGTCACAGGATAAATATAACCAAAAAAACAAGAGGCGTCTCTGGTCTGGGAACAACGGTAACAACGGTAATATTCCTCTGTCCCAGGGGTGGACTGACCATTTGAGCACTCGGGCACTGCCCGAGGGCCCGGGGTCAGTAGGGGGCCACATGAAATGCCCCTGGTACCTTTTTATAGGCTTTTTTGGGTGTGGTTTGAGTGTGGGCAAGGACACAGGGCCCCATGATCCACTATTGCCCGGGGGCCCCATAAGTTGTCAGTCCGCCCCTGCTCTGTCCGTCCCATTTTCGGTATGGGAATTTATGTACAGGCATATTTATTCATTTCCTATTGATAATCCCCCTGGAACTTCCAGCACAGTGACCAACAGAGAGGGTGTGCTGTGGATATGTGCTGCTGGTTGAACCTGCACCCTGCTTTAGCTCCCTGTGGATTTTGGTCACCCAGGTGGAGGTGTGGGTCCCTCAAGGCAAATCTTGGACTTACTAGACAATGTTAATGGTCTTCATATTATTATTATTATTATTATATAGGATTTATGGTGCCAACAGTTTGCTCAGCGCTTTACAATATAATGGGAGACAATACAGCAACAATACAGTTCAATACAAGAGGGTTAGGAGGGCCCTGATCCTGGGAGCTTACAATCTAAGAGGGAGGGGCTGATCCTGGGAGCTTACAATCTAAGAGGGAGGGGCTGATCCTGGGAGCTTACAATCTAAGAGGGAGGGGCTGATCCTGGGAGCTTACAATCTAGGAGGGAGGGGCTGATCCTGGGAGCTTACAATCTAGGAGGGAGGGGGCTGATCCTGGGAGCTTACAATCTAGGAGGGAGGGGCTGATCCTGGGAGCTTACAATCTAGGAGGGAGGGGCTGGTGGTACAAAAGGTAGTAACTGTGGGGGATGGGCTGGTTGGAAGAGTAGAAGATTCCATTATTAGCTGAGGGCAGGATAGGCTTCCCTGAAGAGATCGGTTTTCAGAGATCACCTAAAAGTGAGCAGAGTAGGCGATAGTCTGATAAATTGTGGTAGAGAGTTCCAGAGGATGGGGGAGGCTCTGGAGAAGTCCTGGAGACAAGCATGGGAGGAGGAGACAAGGGAGCTAGAGAGCAGGAGGTCGTGCGAGGAGCGGAGAGTACATTTTGGGTGATATTTGGATACAAGATTGGTGATGTAATTTGGGGCGGAGTTATAAATGGCTTTATATGTGGCCTGCACAGAGTCCTGACCTCAACCCCATAGAACACCTTTGGGATGAATTAGAGCGGAGACTGCGAGCCAGGCCTCCTCCCCCGACATCAGTGCCTGACCTGACAAATGTGCTTCTGGAAGAATGGTCCAACCTTCCCATAGACACCCTCCTAAACCTGGTGAGTTTTTACCCAGCATAGTTTTATCCAATCACAGGTATTGTCAGTCAGCTGTAAAAAATTATTTTAACACACGAGCAGCAGTAAATATTTTAATAATTTAAACACGTTCATAAAAATAGAAATAAACACAATAATGGAACAATATAAATGCACAATGAGGTGTATACATTGAGATGGAGATTTACTAAAATTGGAGAGTGCAGAATCCGGTGTAGCCGTCCATAGCAGCCAATCAGCTTCTAACTTCAGCTTGTTCAGTTAAGCCTTGAGAGAGAAAACCTGGAAGCTGATTGGTTTCTATGAAGAGTTGCAGCAGATTTTACGCTCCCCAGTTTTAGCAAATCAACCCCATAATCTTCTGAGTGGCCATCTTGGAATGAAGATCCACTGCAATAATGTGTCTAATGCCAGATAACAGTTCCCATTCTTGCACAACCCTTTGGCAGTGTCATGGAGTCCATGTTGGCTGCTTGACTCTTCAATGAGGTCATCACCCTGCAAAAAGTTAGAAGGAGGGGATCGTGGATGAGCCCCCATTTTGTAGTTTCTGGATGTATCAGGTTCCTCTGTGCCCTGCACCAGACTTTGCACTTTCCAGTTTTTAGTCTAAAGTGTAACATGATTTCTGCGCTACCTAATTAATATGCAGCCTAAAATTACTGAAAAAAATGTTTTAGTAGTATGGTGAGATACACAATGTTACCCCCAAAGTATTGGTTGGCCAGACTTTCCACGCACTGACCTTTAATGGCCCCCCAGTCTTGGTCCGTAGGGTTCAATATTGAGTTGGCCCCACCCTTTTCACGCACATGACCTTTAATGGCCTCCCAGTCTTAGTCTGTAGGGTTCAATATTGACTTGGCCCCGCCCTTTGCAGCTATAACAGCTTCAACTCTTCTGGGAAGGCCGTCCACAAGGTTTAGGAGGGTGTCTATGGGAAGGTTGGACCATTCTTCCAGAAGCACATTTGTCAGGTCAGGCACTGATGTCGGGGGAGGAGGCCTGGCTCGCAGTCTCCGCTCTAATTCATCCCAAAGGTGTTCTATGGGGTTGAGGTCAGGACTCTGTGCAGGACAGTCAAGTTCCTCCACCCCAAACTGGCTCCTCCATGTCTTTATGGACCTTGCTTTGTGCACTGATGGGGAGTCACATTGGAACAGGAAGGGGCCATCCCCAAACTCCTCCCACAAAGCTGGGATCATGAAATTGTCCAAAATGTCGCCTTAAGAGTTCCCTTCACTGGAACTAGGGGGCCAAGCCCAACCCCTGAAAAACAGCCCCACACCATAATCCCCCCTCTCCCAATTTTACACTTGGCACAATGCAGTCAGACAAGTACCATTCTCTTGACCACCGCCAAACCCAGACACGTCCATGGGATTGCCAGACAGAGTAGCGTGATTGGTCCCTCTAGAGAACACGCCTCCACTGCTCTAGAGTCCAGTGGCGGCATGCTTTACACCACAGCATCCAACACTTTGCATTGCACTTGGAATGCTTGGATGCAGCTGCTCGGCCATGGGAACCCATTCCATGAAGCTCTCTACGCACTGTTGTTGGGCTCATCTGAAGGCCACACCAAGTTTGGAGGTCTTTAGCTATTGACTCTGCAGACAGTTGGTGGCTTCTGCGCACTGTGTGCTTCAGCATGCGCTGACCCCGCCCTGTCATGTGACGTGGCCTCCCACTTGGTGGCTGAGTGGCTGTTGTTCCCAGTTGCTTCCACTTTGTTATAATCCCACTAACAGTTGAGCGTGGAATATTTAGTAGCCAGGAAATGTCACGGATGGACTTATTGCCCAGGTGGCCACCTATCACGGGACCACGCTTGGAGTCACTGAGCTCCTGAGAGCGACCCATTCTTTCACCAATGTTTGTAGAAGCAGTCTACATGCCTAGGGGCTTGATTGTATACACCTGTGTCCATGGAGGGGATTGGAACACCTGAATCACATGATATGGAGGTGATTGGAACACCTGAATCACATGATGGGGAGGGATTGGAACACCTGAAATCACATGAAATGGAGGGGATTGGAACACCTGAATCACATGATATGGAGGTGATTGGAACACCTGAATCACATGATTGGGAGGGGATTGGAACACCTGAATCACATGAATATTGAGGGGATTTGAACACCTGAATCACATGATATGGAGGGATTGGAACACTGAATCACCTGAATCACATGATATGGAGGGGATTGGAACACCTGAATCACATGATATGGAGGGGATTGGAACACCTGAATCACATGATATGGAGGGGATTGGAAACACCTGAATCACATGATTGGGAGGGGATTGGAACACCTGAATCACATGATATGGAGGGGATTGGAACACCTGAATCACATGATTGGGATACTTTTGGCAATATAGTGTATGTTTCATGTGTTTTAGATCATCATGTGTATTATAGTGAAGTAGGGATGCTAAGGGATTAGCGCCACATTGTATCTTTTTCACCTTTTACTTTCCAGATTTAGTAAATCATCCCCAATGTGTGTTTATTTTTGATAAAATTGAGTTACGTCTTCTGTCAGATTTTGGGGTGATTTCCCCCTCCCTCTGATTGCGTGGAGGACTATTGACCGAGGACGCACATCTCTTACTTTGCCAATGTTACCCGCACTTTATTTTTTTGTGATTTAATATCTCTTTGCTATGTTATTATTAATGAAAAGTCTTTGACCCTGAGTCACACACAACACAACAACCAAAATGTATTGGTAAATAGTATGAAGATCTAAACTAACACAGCAATTTTACAGGAAAAAAAAGACTAAACAAAGGATTTATAGAATATAATACTCATAACCTCATTACTCCAACAGCGAGACGACAACATAGGACAGCATGCATGGAAGTGCCAAAGAAAAATCTGATATTGCTGTGTGTAGCACGGGGACCCCTATGATAATCCTCGGATCTTCTCTCTCCTGTCTTCCCCAAAACCTAACCTGATGTAGACCTATCTCTCAGAGACTTGCATAGGCCAATCCCCGATTGGTGGATCTATCTAATACATCTACTGTCAGGGATTGGACAATGTCCCCATCCCCCGCATTTCCATAACTCAGCCCCTCACTAACACCTCCTTTTTGGAATGAAAGTTAAGTTACACCCCCATTCAACAACAATAGCACAACCAAAAAAAAACAACACACCCCATTTTTTTTTGGCAGGAACATTAGGCATGCATGGTCATAGCCTGGGCAAATTGTGCATTCCTGGCCAGATGGCCATCCTCATTGTGCATACCTAAAGAGAGGGCCCTTTGGAATGGACCCGTAGAGTCTGAGACAAGGAAAGATAATGTAATGGTTGTCCCTTCTCGCATAGGACTGGTCAATTATGGAGCATTCTCTGTGGCACACACATGTTCAGCAAGTCAAAACCAGGGATGGGCTTCATGTTTGAGTTTAAACTAAGTTCACCGAAACACACGAACAGTATGGGCCTCCCACAATGCACTGCGCCCCTGACAGTTCATTGTGATTGGTCAAAGCAATGCACCTGACCACAGGGTCAGAGTGTAATGGTTTGGCCAATCACATCGCGTGATGATCTCACAATGAGTGAGGTGAACCCCCCGCCCCCTTGTGACATCATGACAGTTGTTAAGAACAGCTCAGCCCTATATTTAGGGGATAAGGCTGACCCATCATTGCTGGTTCTATAATTATATCTTTCCATCTAATTATTTCCCTGAATTTGTTTTTGTCCTTAAAAAAAGCTGGAGGACATTTGTATGCATGGAGCTGTGTTTCCCCATTAGCTCCCAATTAACATTTTGCTACGATAGAACCTGCAACCTGCACTAGCAACGTTCCCCTCTGTGACTGTCAGTGAGGCCTCTGTGCCTTTTCGGAGGGGTCCTGTCCGGTCAGTGCCTGCATGTGGATGAGGTCTGGGGGGAGGACTGGTGGACTCAGCTACACACCAGATGCCTTTAAATGTGGCGGGAAACCTTTTTCCCTTTTTTCTTTGACTCTCTCTGTATTATGTTCTTCTAGAGGCTCTATCACCTATGAGTCTCGTCCCTGAAGAAGGAGAAGACTTACTCTGAAACGCGTCGAAGGTTATCCAGGAACTCTGTATTGTTGATATACCTTTGTATGGTGATATTTGTACTTACCTTTCAGTAACCGCCCATGGTCCATATTTTATGGCTGATATGTTTAAACCAATCTATGTTCAATAAAGATTGATATATTTTTTACTCATCCATTGATGCTTTTAAAGTCCCAACCATGGGGGGGGGGGTTTCTTTAATACAATTATTGACCTAATTCCAAATAGAACCCCTCTGGGATGTCATGTTTCGGTTCATCCGACGCCGCCAGGTTGGCCACCTCAGACAATCCAGGAGCTCAGTTTATATTTAATTATTATTTCAACATTTTTTTAGAAGGTTTCTCACCATCTTATGATGTCAAGAAAAAAAGGTCTCTGTCTAGACCACACTGTCATTGGTGAGGTATTCAAGACCACCAACACTTCTTCCAAATAATAACACTGGGAAGAGACAGAATGTATTGTTCAATGCAGACCATATGAACCTTTGGTGGCTTGGATAGGTACAACAAAGGGGATGCCAGTAAGCCTTGTAGGGGCACACCACTTTTGGTGGCTCTGCCACCTCTAACTCTCATTGCCCTCATCCTGAGAGTGCAGTTCTCCAGAAATGAACTTCAGGTTTTAATTTGTTAAATTTCTGCTCCATTTTATGAGGAAAGCAACAAAAAACACTTCCCGTTTGTTGGCTCTGCGTCTTCTGCATCCTGTGTAATGGTGTGCTGCTGAGTATCATCATAGCCACCATCTGGAACTTATCCTCCTTCTTCTTCTTCCCTTTTTTGCCAAAAATTCCTCAAGGAAGTTAAAAGAGGCTTAAAGCTATAGTATTTCTTAGGGAGGACATTGTAACTTCTTTATCTGCATTATGTCTTGTTTTTGCTGCCATCACATTGCTTGGGGTTTCCCTATTGAAATACATACCAGACGAAAAGGGACTGGCATGATTTTTGGGGAGAATGAACCCACTACGTTTTTCTACCATCAAAATTGTGGTACTACTTATACGTACATTTATACCCACCAAGCCTAAGGGCTGCAGTATTCCATTTTTTAAGGAAGATTGCAGACTTTTGCTCATGTCTCCATTTGTAGGCCTCTTGGTGCAGCCCCTGGCCAATTTCTACCCATCCATAAACAAAGGTGAATTTTTTTAGGATGACAACTACCTGTGCTTTTGTTTCTGCTTTTTGGCCCGTAGTCACCACTTCCAAACCCTGGTGACCCCGGACAAGTATTACCCAACCAAACCCAAAGGTTGCAGCTTTCTTGATTGATTAGAAACTCTGCGATCCAATGAAGTTTTCACTTGACAACCCTTAGAAGATACAACTACAAAATGATGGAATCTTAAAAGAAAAATGTTGTACTTTGTAAAGTATTTTAGATCATTCTGTCCACTAGACAATAAATAAAATAGTTGACAAAAAAAGATTAAAATGGTTTCAGTGGATTTTATTCACAGTTTACATTTTTCAAACGACAACAAATTATAAATAAATACATATTCTCAAGTCACAAAGCTGTTATACATTTATTCTATAGAGACCTTTAATGGAGATTTTCTGTTGTTGTTACAAAGCAGCAGACGGTCCTGCAGGGACTTCCAACATTTTATATAAGAACAAATTCATTAGCGGTACAAATGTCTTCATGTAAAACCTGAGAATATTGTGTAGGTACTCCGTACATGTTCTCCTTTTAATTAATTCTTCAGAATGGTGATTGTTTTGATGGTTTAAATGGATAATTATATCTCTGCTCTATAGTAATACATGTAAACAGACAAAACAAATGAATATTATGAGGAATCAGACAGAGATTTCCTCTTTTACCCTCGTAGGTCTATCAGACCATCCACTGACCATGAAGGCACTTTTTGGGCTTTTCCTTCTGATCTATCTGATGACTCTTATCACAAACCTTCTTATATTTTTCTTGGTCCTCACTGACCACCATCTGCACAACCCAATGTATTTTTTTCTTGCCAACTTGGCATTTCTGGGACATGTCCTATTCATCAGTGACACGCGACCGCAATGGATGCTCTATGACTTGGTCATAAAAACGCCGAATCAATATCCATTCCTGCTGTACAGCCCAAGTCTTTTTCTACCTCTCCTTTGCTGAGCTCAGAACTTTTCCTTGCTCTCGAGTCTATGTCCTACGACCGCTACATTGCCGTCTGCCACCCCCCTACACTTACAAACTAATGATGTCTCTCTTGGAGGGTCTGGCTTGTATGGGCCTCCATGGTCTGGGTTGTAGGATGTTCTGTCTCTTTGGTTTATACTTTACTTTTGCTCAGGTTGTCCTTCTGCAGAACATCTTCCATCCACAACTTCTATTGTGACCTTCCACACTTATATCAGATTACATGTACTGACCCCTTCATAAACATGGTGGCCATATTCTTATCAGGTGCTACTTTTGGATTAGTAGCCGTTCTTATGACCTTTCTTCCATATGTCTATATTTTTAGTACCATCCTCAGAATCCGTAGCAAGACTGGAAAGAGGAAAGCATTCTCCACCTGCTCCTCACACACCTCACCGTGGTCTCCATCTTTTATGGCTCCTTCATTTTTATTTACTTGGTTCCATCTTCCAGCAATATGTACATTTTAAACAAACTGTTTTCAGTCATATCTGCCCTCATTAACCCATTGCTGAATCCTCTGATCTACAGCCTGAGGAACAAAGATCTCATGGAGGCACTTAGGAGGTCATATTATCACCTAAAATTAATTCAGGTTTGCTGCTGAAAGTAAAATTGTGAATATTGACACTTTTATTTTTTCTAGGAAGTTTTCAGTTGACTAAAGATTTTAGTAATGTCTGTCATAAAATGTGAAAATGTCCGTTGGTCGTAGTTGTACTTAACCCTTCGTAACCAGGGGCCATTGTTAATCTAGGGGCCCAGGTCACATTTACCAGTTTCTGAATGCATTGGTCACGCTCACAGTAAACTTTGTAACTATTTTGCCAACCAGAATATTTGTACATGTTCTTTAATTGGACCTGTGGGTGTCGGATTATAACTTTTATTTTTTTAATGTTTGAACTGGATGGACTTTTGTCTTTTTTCAGCCAGACTAACTATGTAACTATGTAACCTATAAGGAATTTAACTATCTTATGGTTTTAGGAGAGAACCAATCACATTTAAAGTAAAAATAGAAAAACACTGATAAATGTACAAAATTGCAGCTTTAGTTTGACTAACGTGTAAAATGTAATTATTACTATTCCACATATAGTCACTAAAATTATTCTACTATTTTTCCTGAGAACCAGATGACAGAGTAAAGTCTAGAAATGATCTTGGTCTCTGGCACCTGGATTTGGTCCTTTCTTTTTTCTATAATAAATGTAAGCCGTCATTGATATAGTTAACAAAACAGCCAAGTCAGTAAGAAAGAAATTGTTTGCAAATGTCACAGGATAAATATAACCCAAAAAACAAGAGGCGTCTCTGGTCTGAGGGAACAACGGTAACAACGGTAATATTCCCAGGTCTGTCCCAGGGGCGGGACTGACCATTCGAGCACTCGGGCACTGCCCGAGGGCCCGGGGTCAGTAGGGGGCCACATGAAATGCCTCTGGTACCTTTTTATAGGCTTTCTTGGGTGTGGTTTGAGTGTGGGCAAGGACACAGGGACCCATGTTCCACTATTGCCCGGGGGGCCCCATAAGTTATCAGTCCGCCCCCTGCTCTGCCCGTCCCATTTTGGGAAATTTATATATACAGGCATATTTATTCATCTCCTATTGATAATCCCCCTGGAACTTCCAGCACAGTGACCAACAGAGAGGGTGTGCTGAGGATGTGTGCTGCCGGTTGAACCTGCACCCTGCTTTGGCTCCCAGTGGATTTTGGTCACCCCCTAGGTGGAGGTGTGGGTCCCTCAAGGCAAATCTTGGACTTACTAGACAATGTTAATGGTCTTTATTATTTATTATTATTATTATTATACAGTATTTATAAAGCGCCAATAGTTCGCTCAGCGCTGTACATTACAAAAGGGAGACAGAACATGTGACAGAACAATACCAATACAATGCAAAACATGAGGGGATCGAGGGCCCTGCTCTTTCGAGCTTACAATCTTAGGAGGGAGGGGATGGTGGCACAGGAGGAGATAGCTGTGGGGGATGGAGTGGTAGGAAGAGTGGAGGAGGTCGGCAAGTTAGCAGGGTGTGGGGTAGGCTTCCCTGAAGAGATGGGTTTTCAGGGTGCGCCTAAAGGAGAGGAGAGTAGGTGATAATCTGATGGGTTGGGGCAGGGAGTTCCAGAGGATGGGTGACACCCTGGAGAAGTCCTGGAGGCGGGCATGGGAGGAGGAGACCCAGGGAACTAGAGAGAAGGAGGTCTTGTGAGGAGCGGAGTGTGCGTGTTGTTGGGCGGTACTTGGATATTAGGTCGGTGATGTAGTACGGGGCAGTATGGTGGACAGCTTTGTACGTCAGCGTTAGGATTTTGAATTTGATCCGTTGCGCAATCGAAAGCCAGTGGAGGGATTGGCAGAGGGGGGTGGCGGGAGACAGTGCGGTTGGAAAGGTGAATGAGTCTGGCAGCCGTGTTCAGGATGGACTGAAGAGGGGATAGCCAGCGGCGAGGCAGGCCAGTGAGGAGGGAGTTGCAGTAGTCGAGTCGTGATATGATGAGGGAGTGGATGAGCTGTTTAGTGGTTTCTGGGGTTAGGAACGTGCGTATTTTGGCGATGTTGCGGAGGCGGAGTGCATGTTGCGGAGGTGGAGTCTGCATGTTGCGGAGGCGGAGTCTGCACGAGTTTGTTAAAGATTGGACTTGGGGGGTTCTGGAAGGGTAGGTTGGAGTCCAGAATGACACCAAGTACTCTGGCCTGCAGGGCGGGGTTTGATGGTAGCGTTGTTGGATGTGATGGAGAAATCAATGGGGGGTGGTGTTCGGGGCTGGGGGGAAGACAAGAAACTCGGTTTTGAGAGGTTCAATTTAAGGAAGTGGAGCGACATCCAGTCTGATATGTCTCTGAGTAGGTGTGTGATTCGGGCGGAGACCGAGGGGGTGAGGTGGGGGGTTGAGAGATAGATTTGTGTGTCGTCGGCATAGAGGTGGTAGTTGAAGCCGTGAGAGTGTATGAGTTGGCCAAGGGAGGAGGTGTAGATGGAGAAGAGAAGGGGCCCGAGGACAGAGCCTTGAGGGACCCCAACAGAGAGGGGGAGTGAGGGGGAGGTGGTAGCATTATAGGTAACGCTGAAGGAGCGTTGTGACAGGTAGGATGAGAGCCAGGAGAGGGCGGAGTCTCTGAGGCCGAGGGAGTGTAGTTTTTTGAGGAGGAGGAGGGGTGGTCGACTGTGTCGAAGGCCGCAGAGAGGTCAAGGAGTAGGAGCACTGAATAGTGGCCATTAGCTTTGGCGGTTAGCAGGTCGTTGGAGAGTTTGAGTAAGGCAGTTTCGGTGGAGTGTAGGGGACGGAAGCCGGACTGTAGGGGATCGAGGAGGTTGTTGTCGTTGAGGTGAGAGCATAGGCGGGTGTAGACTAGACTTTATATTATTATACAGGATTTATGGCGCCAACAGTTTGCTCAGCACTTTACAATATAACGGGAGATAATACAGCAACAATACAGATCAATACAAGAGGGTTAGGAGAGCCTGATCCTGGGAGCTTACAATCTAGGAGGGAGGGGCTGGTGGTACAAAAGGTAGTAACTGTGGGGGATGGACTGGTTGGAAGAGTAGAAGATCCCATTATTAGCTGAGGGCAGGATAGGCTTCCCTGAAGAGATCGGTTTTCAGAGATCACCTAAAAGTAAGCAGAGTAGGCGATAGTCTGATAAATTGTGGGAGAGAGTTCCAGAGGATGGGGGAAGCTCTGGAGAAGTCCTGGAGACAAGCATTGGAGGAGGAGACAAGGGAGCTAGAGAGCAGGAGGTCGTGCGAGGAGCGGAGAGTACATTTTGGGTGATATTTGGATACAAGATTGGTGATGTAATTTGGGGCGGAGGTATAAATGGCTTTATATGTGGCCTGCACAGAGTCCTGACCTCAACCCCATAGAACACCTTTGGGATGAATTAGAGCGGAGACTGCGAGCCAGGCCTCCTCCCCCGACATCAGTGCCTGACCTGACAAATGTGCTTCTGGAGGAATGGTCCAACCTTCCCATAGACACCCTCCTAAACCTGGTGAGTTTTTACCCAGCATAGTTTTTATCCAATCACAGGTATTGTCAGTCAGCTGTAAAAAATTATTTTAACACACGAGCAGCAGTAAATATTTAATAATTTAAACACGTTCATAAAAATAGAAATAAACACAATAATGGAACAATATAAGTGCACAATGAGGTGTATACATTGAGATGGAGATTTACTAAAATTGGGAGAGTGCAGAATCCGGTGTAGCCGTCCATAGCAGCCAATCAGCTTCTAACTTCAGCTTGTTCAGTTAAGCCTTGAGAGAAAAACCTGGAAGCTGATTGGTTTCTATGAAGAGTTGCAGCAGATTTTACGCTCCCCAGTTTTAGCAAATCAACCCCATAATCTTCTGAGTGGCCATCTTGGAATGAAGATCCACTGCAATAATGTGTCTAATGCCAGATAACAGTTCCCATTCCTTGCACAACCCTTTGGCAGTGTCATGGAGTCCATGTTGGCTGCTTGACTCTTCAATGAGGTCATCACCCTGCAAAAAGTTAGGAGGGGATCGTGGATGAGCCCCCATTTTGTAGTTGCTGGATGTATCAGGTTCCTCTGTGCCCTGCACCAGACTTTGCACTTTCCAGTTTTTAGTCTAAAGTGTAACATGATTTCTGCGCTACCTAATTAATATGCAGCCTAAAATTACTGAAAAAATGTCTTAGTAGTATGGTGAGATACACAATGTTACCCAAAGTATTGGTTGGCCGGACTTTCCACACACATGACCTTTAATGGCCTCCCAGTCTTAGTCCGTACGGTTCAATATTGAGTTGGCCCCGCCCTTTCCATGCACATGACCTTTAATGGCCTCCCAGTCTTAGTGCGTAGGGTTCAAAATTGAGTTGGCCCCGCCCTTTCCCCACACAGGACCTTTAATGGCCAACAGTCTTAGTCCGTAGGGTTCAATATTGAGTTGGCCCCGCCCTTTGCAGCTATAACAGCTTCAACTCTTCTGGGAAGGCCATCCACAAGGTTTAGGAGGGTGTCTATGGGAAGGTTGGACCATTCTTCCAGAAGCACATTTGTCAGGTCAGGCACTGATGTCGGGGGAGGAGGCCTGGCTCGCAGTCTCCGCTCTAATTCATCCCAAAGGGGTTCTATGGGGTTGAGGTCAGGACTCTGTGCAGGACAGTCAAGTTCCTCCACCCCAAACTGGCTCCTCCATGTCTTTATGGACCTTGCTTTGTGCACTGGTGTGGGCAGTCATGTTGGAACAGGAAGGGGCCATCCCCAAACTCTTCCACAAAGTTGTCCAAAATGTCACCTTAAGAGATCCCTTCACTGGAACTAGGGGGCCAAGCCCAACCCCTGAGGAACACCCCCACACCATCATTCCCCCTCCACCAAACTTTACACTTGGCACAATGCAGTCAGGTAAGTACCATTCTCCTGTCCACCGCAAAACCAAGACACATCCATCAGATTGCCAGACAGAGAAGCGTGATTGATCGCTCCAGAGAACACACCTCCACTAGTCTAGAGTCCAGTGGCGGCATTCTTTACACCACGGCATCCAACGCTTTGCATTGCACTTGGGTGATGGAAGGCTTGGATGCAGCTGCTCGGCCATGGAAACCCATTCCTTGAAGCTCTCTACGCACTGTTGTTGGGCTCATCTGAAGGCCACACCAAGTTTGGAGGTCTTTAGCTATTGACTCTGCAGACAGTTGGCGACTTCTGCGCACTGTGCGCTTCAGCATGCGCTGACCCCCGCCCTGTCATGTGACATGGCCTACCACTTAGTGGCTGAGTTGCTGTTGTTCCCACTTTGTTATAATCCCACTAACAGTTGAGCGTGGAATATTTAGTAGCCAGGAAATGTCACGGATGGACTTATTGCCCAGGTGGCCACCTATCACGGGACCACGCTTGGAGTCACTGAACTCCTGAGAGCGACCCATTCTTTCACCAATGTTTGTAGAAGCAGTCTGCATGCCTAGGGGCTTGATTGTATACACGTGTCCATGGAGGGGATTGGAACACCTGAATCACATGATATGGAGGGGATTGGAATACCTGAATCACTGATATGGAGGGGATTGGAACACCTGAATCACATGATATGGAGGGGATTGGAACACCTGAATCACATGATATGGAGGGGGTTGGAACACCTGAATCACATGATTGGGATACTTTTGGCAATATAGTGTATGTTTCATGTGTTTTAGATCATCATGTTTATTATAGTGAAGTAGGGATGCTAAGGGATTAGCGCCACATTGTATCTTTTTCACCTTTTACTTTCCAGATTTAGTAAATCATCCCCAATGTGTTTTATTTTTGATAAATTGAGTTACGTCTTCTGTCAGATTTTGGGTGATTTCCCCCTCCCTCTGATGCGTGGAGGACTATTGACCGAGGACGCACATCTCTTACTTTGCCAATGTTTCCCGCACTTTATATTTTTGAGATTTAATCTCTTTGCTATGTTATTATTAATGGAAAGTCTCTGACCCCGAGTCACACACAACACAACAACCAAAATGTATTGGTAAATAGTATGAACACCCTTGATATTTCTCCAGGAAATCATGTATTTCTCACGAAACGTATTGCATTAACACATGTTTTGCTATACACATGTTTATTCCCTTTGTGTGTATTGGGACAAAACAAAAAAAGGGAGGAAAGAAAGCAAATTCGACATAATGTCACACAAACCTCCAAAAATGGGCTGGACAAAAGTATTGGCACCCTTTCACAACTGCGGATAAATAAGAATGTTACAAGCATGTGATGCTCCTGTAAACTCACCTGGGGCAAGTAACAGGTGTGGGCAATATAGAAATCACACCTGAAAGCAGATAAAAAGGAGAGACGTTCACTTAACCTTTGCATTGTGTGTCTGTCTGTGCCACACTAAGCATGGACAACAGAAAGAGGAGACGAGAACTGTCTGAGGACCTGAGAACCAAAATTGTGGCAAAATATCAACAATCTCAAGGTTACAAGTCCATCTCCAGAGAACTAGATTTGCCTTTGTCCACAGTGCGCAACATTATCAAGAAGTTTGCAACCCATGGCACTGTAGCTAATCTCCCTGGTCGTGGACGGATGAGGAAAATTGATGAAAGATTGCAACGCAGAATAGTCCGGATGGTGGATAAGCAGCCCCAAACATGTTCCAAAGACATTCAAGCTGTCCTGCAGGCTCAGGGAGCATCAGTGTCAGCGCGAACTATCCGTCGACATTTAAATGAAATGAAACGCTATGGCAGGAGACCCAGGAGGACCCCACTGCTGACACAGAGACATAAAAAAGCAAGACTACAGTTTGCCAAAATGTACTTGAGTAAGCCAAAAGCCTTCTGGGAAAACGTCTTGTGGACAGATGAGACCAAGATAGAGCTTTTCGGTAAAGCACATCATTCTACTGTTTACCGAAAACGGAATGAGGCCTACAAAGAACAAAACACAGTACCTACGGTAAAATATGGTGGAGGTTCAATGATGTTTTGGGGTTGTTTTGCTGCCTCTGGCACTGGGTGCCTTGACTGTGTGCAAGGCATCATGAAATCTGAGGATTACCAAAGGATTTTGGGTCGCACTGTAGGGCCCAGTGTCAGAAAGCTGGGTTTGCGTCCAAGATCCTGGGTCTTCCAGCAGGACAATGACCCCAAACATACGTCAAAAAGCACACTCAGAAATGGATGGCAAAGAAGCGCTGGAGAGTTCTGAAGTGGCCAGCAATGAGCCCAGATCTAAATCCCATTGAACACCTGTGGAGAGATCTTAAAATTGCTGTTGGGAAAAGGTGTCCTTCCAATAAGAGAGACCTGGAGCTGTTTGCAAAGGAAGAGTGGTCCAAAATTCCGGGTGAGAGGTGTCAGAAGCTTATTGATGGTTATAGGAAGCGACTGATTTCAGTTATGTTTTCCAAAGGGTGTGCAACCAAATATTAAGTTAAGGGTGCCAATACTTTTGTCCAGCCCATTTTTGGGGTTTTGTGTGACATTATGTCATATTTGCTTTTCTGCCTCTGTTTTATATTTGTTCCAATACATACAAAGGGAATAAACATGTGTATAGCAAAACATGTGTTAATGCAATACCTTTTTGTGTGAAATACTTGATTTTCAGGAAAAATATCAAGGGTGCCAACAATTTCGGCCATGGACTGTATAGAATATAATACTCATAACCTCATTACTCCAACAGCGAGACGACAACATAGGACAGCATGCATGGAAGTGCCAAAGAGAAGTCTGATATTGCTGTGTAGCACGGGGACCCCTATGATGATCCTCGGATCTTCTCTCTCCTGTCTTCCCCCAAAACCTAACCTGATGTAGACCTATCTCTCAGAGACTTACATAGGCCAATCCCGATTGGTGGATCTATCTACTCTATCTACTGTCAGGGATTGGACAATGTCCCCATCCCCCACATTTACCATAACTCAGCCCCTCACTAACACCTCCTTTTTGGATGGAAAGTTAAGTACACCCCATTCTAGCCTTTTTTTGGCAGGAACATTAGGCCTGCATGGTCATAGCCTGGGCAAATTGTGCATTCCTGGCCAGATGGCCATCCTCATTGCATACCTAAAGAGAGGGCCCTTTGGAATGGACCCGTAGAGTCTGAGACAAGGAAAGATAATGTAATGGTTGTCCCTTCTCGCATAGGACTGGTCAATTATGGAGCATTCTCTGTGGCACACACATGTTCAGCAAGTCAAAACCAGGGATGGGCTACATGTTTGAGTTTAACCTAAGTTCACCGAACACACGAACGGTATGGGCCTCCCACAATGCACTGCGCCCTGACAGTTCATTGTGATTGGTCAAAGCAATGCACCTGACCACAGGGTCAGAGTGTAATGGTTTGGCCAATCACATCTCGTGATGACATCACAAGGAGTGAGGTGAACCCCGCCCCCTTGTGACATCATGACAGTATTTAAGAACAGCTCAGCCCTATATTTAGGGGATAAGGCTGACCCATCATTGCTGGTTCTATAATTATCTTTCCATCTAATATTTCCCTGAATTAGTATTTGTCCTTAAAAAAGCTGGAGGACATTTGTATGCATGGAGCTGTGTTTCCCCATTAGCTCCCAATTAACATTTGCTACGATAGAACCTGCACCTGCACTAGCAACGTTCCCCTCTGTGACTGTCAGTGTGGCCTCTGTGCCTTTTCGGAGGGGTCCTGTCCGGTCAGTGCCTGCATGGATGTGGTCTGGGGAGGACTGGTGGACTCGGCTACACACCAGATTCCTTTAAATGTGGCGGAAACCTTTGTCCCTTTTTTTTTACTCTCTCTGTATTATGTTCTTCTAGAGGCTCTATCACCTATGAGTCTCGTCCCTGAAGAAGGAGAAGACTTACTCTGAAACGCGTCGAAGGTTATCCAGGAACTCTGTATTGTTGATATACCTTTGTATGGTGATATTGTACTTACCTTTCAGTAACCGCCCATGTCATATTTTATGGCTGATATGTTTAAACCAATCTATGTTCAATAAAGATTGATATATTTTTTACTCATCCATTGATGCTTTTAAAGTCCCAACCATGGGGGGGGGGGGGGGTTTCTTTAATACAATTATTGACCTAATTCCAATAGAACCCCTCTGGGATGTCATGTTTCGGTTCATCCGACGACGCCAGGTTGCACCTCAGACAATCCAGGAGCTCAGTTTATATTTAATTATTATTTCAACATTTTTTTAGAAGGTTCTCACCATCTTATGATGTCAAGAAAAAAAGGTCTCTGGCTAGACCACACTGTCATTGGTGAGGTAGGTATTCAAGACCACCAACACACTTCTTCAAACAAACATGGGAAGAGACAGAATGTATTGTTCAATGCAGACCATATGAACCTTTGGTGGCTTGGATAGGTACAACAAAGGGGATGCCAGTAAATCTTGTAGGGTCTACCACTTTTGGTGGCTCTGCCACCTCTACCTCTCATTGCCCTCATCCTGAGAGTGCAGTTCTCCAGAAATGAACTTCAGGTTTTAATTTTTTAAATTTCTGCTCCATCTTATGAGGAAAGCAAAAAAACACTTCCCGTTGTTGGCTCTGCGTCTTCATCCTGTGTAATGGTGCTGCTGAGTATCATCATAGCCACCATCTGGAACTTATCCTCATTCTTCTTCTTCCGTTTTTTGCCAAAAATTCCTCAAGGAAGTTAAAAAGGCTGAAAGCTATAGTATTTCTTAGGAAGACATTGTAACTTCTTTCTCTGCATTATGTCTTGTTTTTGCTGCCATCACATTGCTTGGGGTTCCCTATTAAAATACATACATACCAGATGAAAAGGGACTGGCATGATTTTTGGGGAGAACCCACTATGTTTTTCTACCATCAAATTGTGGTACTACTTATACGTACATTTATACCCACCAAACCTAAGGGCTGCAGTATTCCTTTTTTTTCTTAGGAAGACACTGTGACGTCTTTGTCTGCCGTTTGGCTTTTTTTAGCTGCCATAAAATTGTGGTGCTACTGAAGAATCGATACCCACCAAAAAAAGGGCTGCAGGATTCATTTTTTAGAAATATTGCCAACTTTTTGCTCATGTCTCCATTTGTAGACCTCTTGGTGCAGCCCCTGGCCAACCTCTACCCATCCATAAACAAAGGTGAATGTTTTTAGGATGACAACTACCTGTGCCTTTTTGGCCTGCAGTCACCACTTCCAAGCCCTGGTGACCCCGGACAATTTGTACCCAACCAAACCCAAAGGTTGTAGATTTCTTTACAGATTAGAAACTGTGCGATCCAATGAAGTTTTCCATTGACAACCCTTAGAAGATGCAACTACAAAATGATGGAATCTTAAAAGAAAAATGTTGAACTTTGTAAAGTATTTTAGATCATTCTGTCCACTAGCCCATAAATAAAATAGTTGACAAAAAAGATTAAAATGGTTTCAGTGGATTTTATTCACAGTTTACATTTTCATAACTACAACAAATTATAAATAAATACATATTCTCAAGTCACAAAGCTGTTATACATTTATTCTATAGAGACCTTTATGGAGATTTTCTGTTGTTGTTACAAAGCAGCAGACGGTCCTGCGGGACTTCCAGCATTTTATATAAGAACAAATCATTAGCCGGTACAAATGTCTTCATGTAAACCTGAGAATATTGTGTAGGTACTCCGTACATGTTCTCCTTTTATT